GGGGACGGAGGCGGCGTCTCGCAGGCGGGTTTCCCGTGGGTGGGCCCGCAGCAGCGCGGCGCGGAGGCAGCCCCGGCGCAAGGCAAGGGCGGGACAGGAGAGGACCGGAGGTAGGCCGCTGCTGGAAGCCCCGTGACAGGGATTTTGTGCTGCCCACGGAAACTGAGGTGACTCTGGCAGACGGGGGAAAACCGCGCTATACCGCACCTTAACACTGTGTTATGTGAAATCGTTAATACCGTTTTTGCTTGGGGAGTGACGGGTGTCCACATTTTCTCCTTTGTGGAAGACTTCCTGGCTCACTTGGGGTTTGTAATACAGCCTTGAAAATGCTTTTTGTGCCTCAACTGATAGGAAATTCATTAAAAGAATTTCTTATCCTTTTAGTGTGTATTTTGCATGCTAAGCAGAACGCTTTAGAAATAGTTCTTTAAGTAGATACAAATTACCTATTTTTAATCTATGTAAGTTTCAAAACATCAGTTTCCTATTGATTTTATAAGATATTATAATTAATTACAATTAAAAATTGCATACAAGTTTGTGGTAAATCATTGGTATCTGCTAAATACCTTCCAGAAAGAGAAATATTTGGAAACTTCCAGCAGACTGTTGTAGATAGAGATCCTGGTTCCCGGTCATTAGGACAGGGGGGTGCAAGGTCCTCTGCATTATGAGGGGGAAAGGATGTGTTACCCAGGCTCACAAGGAAATTATATGAGTCTGAAGTTTTTATGTTCTCTTCAGGTATCTACTTCATCCCGTCTTCTGGCATCTTAGCATGCCAGTGCTGTGGGGAATAAGTGTGAATTGATACTGTAATTATTTTTTCCATCAGATAGACATATGAAAATAGAGGAACAGTAAGCAAGACAAAAATAAACTAATAAAATACCTTTGCTTAATATCTGTAGTACAGCACATGAAATCTTAAAACCAAGTTTAAATATATCAGTCTTCTCTTAAAGGTATTTGTCTGATGCTGTCTTAGTTCTCTAAAACAGGATTAAGAAAAAAAAAAGCTGTTTATTTGCAGCTAGGACTCCAGACATGGGCATACAAAAAGGTTAAATATTTGTGCTGGCTTTCAAGGTGTACTTTACTATCACATCATTAGAGAGGAAATGCTTTCTTTTTCCTCTTTAGGTAGTTTGTATAGTTAAATAATTCTGGTAACTTTGTGTTGCAGCTTCTGCTTAGAAGCTGTTAGTGGAACAGTCAAACACGCTTTTGATTATTGTCACCGTATCTGATTTGCTCCATCTACATGCATCTACATGGCAAAAGGGAACAGAAAAAGTATTTTTAATTAACTGGAAAATCTGTGGGTAAAAAAAATGTGAAATGGTCTGGTAAATGTAGTTAATTTAGTACTTGAGACTTGTGGAATATTACTACATTGACATTTAACTTAACCAACCTTTGATCTGTATTTTAGCTTGTTTAATACACATTATACAATTTTGTAAGAAGTCCCAGATACTTCTAAAAGTGTATGGCTGCATACTAAGGGAAAAGCCAGAAATACTTTTTATGGAGATTACATGAAATAAATACTGTCACACAACTTTTCTCAGTGATACAATGGAATAAATTCTTTGTAGAGACAACTACCATATGGAAGAAATTGAAGCAATAAAAGCAATCTCTGAAAAGGGACTACAAAGCAACTCATTATTATCAAAGATACTTAATATCTGGAAAAATTGTCCTCCTATTTTTGGATATTTTCATTTTGCATAAGGAAGAAAACATTTCATATTATAACATCATAAATTAAAATTACTTAATTTTAGCTTTCCTTGTATCTGCCCCAGTGTCAGCAACAGCAGTGCAGTACAACATGTTATATGATTTCTTATTCTCTGAAGCTGATTGGGCAGACATCAAAAGAAATCCAGCTATCATAGAATGATTTCAGTACTTTATATAGACTGCTTAAATAACTTTTTTTTCTTTCTTAGTAGACCTAGTGTCTGCTGCTGCCGTCACCTTGATAATGTTACACTGATGGAATCATGCCTACAGCTGAAGAGCATTCAAGTTTGCTGACAGTATGGCATGTTGATAATTTTAGTTGTTAATGATTATATCTCCTAAAGCAAGACTTCTAGACTTACCCATGATCTCTGAGTTAAGGGAGTTTGATAGGTCTTTTTTGATGTACCATGACATTTACCACCAGTGGTCTGTGTTCCACAGCTTGGAACCAATTTTATAGGTTGTAAAATAAATACATAGTTGTTAGCACTGTGTACAAATTGGGGGATATGTTAAGAAAACAAATCAATACTTAGCAAATTCAATAGATGGGGCTGTAGTTTCCACTATAATTTGGGAAATTAGGTTGCCTTTCTTTTGTACAGTGGGTGATTTCAGCTGATGTGCTGTGACTGGTTGATGTCCTGTATTACAAAGGTGGTCAGCCTTCCTGACTAGAAGCCATATACCAAAGTTTTCATGCATTTGCAAGATGCAGACCACATACTAAAGAGAGGAGAGCTGAAAGAAAACTCTGGGAGACGCTTATAGACAGGATACGCTAGATACCACTGTGGGATGGGTGCACATACAGCGCTGGAGGAGTCCAGTGATGCCAGCTCAGTCTTGCTGTCTCACTTCCTTTTACCACCAATAGTTGTACTGCAAAGCTCAGCTTTGCCTTCTCAGTAGTGGCATGATAGCACATCTGCCTTTTAAAGGCAGTCTTCTAAATCTGAAAACTGACCAAGTGGACTAACTTTTCTTAGTGCTTGTGGGCATGTCAATGTTCATTGTTGGGAGCTTCTTTGAGAATAATCCAGGTTGTAAGATCTTCTTAAGCTTACCTTATTCAGAACATTAAAAGGTACAGATGTTGATTTGTAGCTAGATTTATGACCGTACCTAAACACATTAATTCTGTCTCATTACAGGTGCCTCAGAATTGAATTCTTAATACAGTGACCATACAGGATGAAAGAAAAATGATCTTCTGTTTTTCAGTTACTTGAGTTTGTTCTTTGTAACAACATGCTTTACTGTGAAAAGTGAAAGAGAAGACTTTCTGGACATTTCAAAGATAGCTGGTAGGCATAGCAAAATGCTATGTTTGAGGCGGGTTTGCTTGTTTATGCTGAGACATTACCAAGCTCGGACTCTGAGTAGTGATCTGCTTTTGAGCCAGATAAATAGCTGCACCCACGAAGATGAAGTGTTCAGCCTTGTTGGATGGAACAAAGCCAGGCTTTCTGAAAAACATGTGGGAATTGCATTGAACCTGCTGTGGGAATTGCAAAAGAAGAGACCTCTTCCCTTAAGAACTAGTGACTATGTAAGAAATCACTCCCAGTTTCTTACCCTTTGCATTTTAGCAGAAAAAACAGTGGAACACATGGAAGATGAGGCAATAGTGGACATCCTATATAGTATTCTGAGGTAAGCAGGATTCTGTTGAATTCCACATCTATACGTTTTTGGTAATAAAAAGAGATGGAATTTTTTCTACAAAGCCATCCTATAAGGAGATTGGGAAACTGCTCTGTTCCACCTTCTCTATTCTGACTGTGTGACACAGACAACGTCCTGTGACTCAGTTTTTGAGATGCAGGCAGAACTGATCTATTTTGCTCTCCCAGTAAACTGAGTTACAGTTATTAATGCACAAATGTTTATAATCAGTTTGAATGGAAGGAGCAATAGAAAAGCAAAACATTATGATAAATAGTGAAAGGACGTGTCTTATTTCTTTAGAACTTTTGAAGCAAACTTCAAACTATTATCTGTTTCTTCTGAAGGCTCAATGTTGAAGACCACGATTCTCTAGCAGAAGTGCTTGTTACAGAAGCCTGGAAGAGATTAGAAAGGCAAGTACTGTTCTACTATGCTTTGTGAAAAGTGCAAGTTGCAAGCATGATTTGCTTCATGTGAGGCTACACTGAGTTCTCAAAGAGTATTTACAAGATGTTTTAAACACTAGGTATTTTAAATGTCAGTTGTATTTTTGAAAGTTTTGGAAATACACATGTGGTGGCTTTGAGTATTGATGGACTTTGGTACACAAATGCTTCAGAGATTCAAATACTGAACAACAGGGACCAACACAAGATTTTGAAATTTGTTGTCCATGTATATTTATGCGTTTGAAGTAATTTGGAGGTTTAATATTTTACGGTTTTATCTTGGTGCTTGCTGTCCCAACTCGTAAATGGTTGTTAGAACCCTGCTCATCTCAATTTTAGTAAAAACCTTTTGTATTAAAACATCAACATTTTTCCTTTTTGTGGTTTGTTGTGGTTATTGTTTGTTGGGTTGTTTTGACTTTTTGTTTGTTTGTTTTGGATATTGCAATTGTCATTCTTTAATCACAGATTAATGGCAGAAGCTAGTGTCGGTCTTGGCACCAGCATCACAGAATTGCCTCCCCCAGTTTAACACCTGGGGCATCTTGACAAATAAATAAATTCAGTGTAGCTTGAATAAATGACATTCAGGTAATAAATAGCTTGTATTCATTTTAGCTATTTCACATCATTGCTTGAGAACATGATCTTTCTAGATTTCTTACACTGATTTGATTAAATTAACTAATTTTTGTAGAGCTCCATATGCACAATATGTTTTAATATGAAATACCTAGGTGTTTTGACTAAGTCCAAGGTATCACTATAGGTGACCAAATAAAAAATGCTTAGATATTTTGTTCCTTTGTTTTGTAATTTGAATATAACCTTGTCTTTTATATAATTGTTGAAGTAGATTTTTTTTTCTTTAGTTATTCACTAGAAATAAAAGGTGAATACTCTTGTCTTTCTTTGATGTCTTGACAGGCTTAGTTGGCCAGCTCTGTCTAAATTTGCACTGTGTTTATACAAGCAACACAGACGTTTCAGTCCCGTAATTGGCAAAGTAGCTCAGATTGTGGACATGAAACTGGATTCCATACAGGATATAAGGTAAGTGTCAGAAAGAATTTGAGTAGCAGGAGAAGCAATATGTCACAATTAGTGGCCTGCCTTTGCTGAACTTTTTTCTCAACTGAAAGTGGCTTTTCCTCAGTTTGGGCTTTGTGGGAAAGATGTAATTTGTATTTGTGCATTGATTTTTCATGGACAGGTTTGCTATGGGGAATGCATTTTCCCGATGGTTTTGCAAATAATTTATTTATAACCGATTTAAACAATTAAAACTAATGTTCTACTTACAGTGAAAAAATGGCAGATATTGTTTTATCCTGATTCTAAATTTTGCATGGACTTTTTTGAGAATTTAGAGGCTATTGACTCATCAGAAGGTTTTTTTTCTTCCTTGACATTGATAGTGTCTCTACTGTGACATGGATTTAGTTTCCTATTGTGAATAGCAATAAGGAGTCTTAAAACAATGTTATTTTTATTTAACTTAAGAGGTGGGGGTTTTTTTGGTCAGTTCTTTTGCTAGCATGTCATGCTAGCATATTAATACAATACCCTAATATTAAAGTTACTTAAAACCTGGCCCTAGTCAAAGAAGTCCAAGCATCTTTTTCTTTCCTCTGTTTCCCCTGGGCTATTATAGCAAAGGCTGCTCTTCCTTTTTTCTGCGTTATACTGCACCAGCAGTCCCAACGCTTATTTTTGTGGATGTGAGGAGCCTGCTTATGAAACTCATTGAATGGAACTGCATTTCTTTATAGAAATTACTCTCCCTGTGGTCATAAGTTTTATTCCCCAAGGAAGGGATTCTTTCTTTAGGAGTGACAATGACTCTTCTCCCCATCTGTCACTTGAGAATTTTTTGAATTTCTTTAGCTTCCACAGAACATTAAAGATCTTTTTGCAAATTTGAATCAGGCAAGTCAGGGTCTTGCCTTAGGCAAATGGTTTCATCACATAGGACTTTGTAAGGGATGGTTGCAAAATCCCAATCGTTTCAGAAATTCACTGAAAGCAGAATTTTGACTTTAGTAGGAGAAACGGGTTTTGCTCAGCTGTTTGCGCTAGATTTAAAATTCCTTTTTATGCAGAAGCCAGCAACACCCTGACTAATGTTCCTTTCTTTGCATAGTTTATTTAAGAAATTTAAAATTTATTACTTACTATGTTCAATGTGTAAGTGTAAAATCTTTTGAATTTTTTAGGATCTTGTCGGTTTTGATGATCAGCATATATGATGTTATCTCACAGAGTTTTCAAGATCGATTGCTACAGAAGGCTGGACAGCTCTTGGAAGAAAAGGAAGTCCACTTCAACTCTGCCAAAAGAATACTACAATTTCTTCAAAATGTTAAACTGCGATATCATCCATTGCTAGAAAGGTGCAACAAGATTTTCCTTAAAAATACCTCCCGTCTTGATGTACACAGTATTAGTCATATTTTTGGACTCTATGAGCAGCTGCGTTTTGACAGTGCTGAATTCCGCTTGGTTGCTAAACAGCTGCTGTCTGAAGCTATAGATGATTATGATGATCCTGAAACCTTTGCAAAATTATTTTTTACTCTTGCACCTCTTGCAGGATCCACAGTAAGAGAAAGGTAAGTTTGTTCACAAATTTGTCTTATTTATGAGATATACGTAGTCTTGCACAGAAATTAAAAATGTACCGTGTTTTGGAGGAATTTGTGAGCCTATCTGTGAGCTCAGCATTAGGATTCCTAGTTGTAACTTTGTAGCAATATATTATTTCACTCTGGAAATAGTCATTCATAGCAGTTTGCCTTGAAACAGTTGCATAGAAAGCTGGATCCAGTAATCAAGGGGTATGTGAATGCTGTTAAACAAGGCCATCTTTCAGATCTGTCTCTTAGACTAGGGCCTTCATTTCACAGTGGATGGTAGTAAAAAACTTTTCTCTTTCCACTGAGAAATGTATGCAGTGGTGTGTGTTGCTTTTTCCTTTTTAAGACTGGCAGTAGCTGAAACAGACTGAGTCTTGCCCTGTCCCAGTTTGCTGTACATCCTATTCTGTATGAAAGGTCATCAGCAGGGAACACTTCAGCATTTATTTAGCAATTGGATCATAGTATTGTGTGGCAGATTTTTCCCTGCGTGTTTTTCTTGTGCTACTAAATCCTATTTGGAGGTGGTATTAGTCATGGGTCTCTCAAAGTCTGCAGTTTTAGGCAGAATTTGCTGTATTAATTACAATTAGTCATATTTTCAGACTTTTCTTCATGAACATTTGCCTTTATTTGGAGATATGGATATACTGCAAGCCTGTTGGTTTTGCCATAGCTGACTTAGTTCCAAAAGCTTTTCCTAGATTTTTTTCTAAATTTATTTCATTTTTAGTGACAATCATTTGATGTAGAAAAAGTCATTGGCTTTATTTGCCACAGAACTTGTTCAACTCATGTTTGATTTTGTTATCTGTGAATTGTTTAGGGTCTTAGAGTTCCTTCCCTATTTCTTGTCAACTTTGAGAATTGTTGGACTCGCTGTTTTCTAGCATCAGAGCAATATGTACTGATCTGACACACATCTCTATCTGTGCTGTACAGATCAACTGTTTAGAGGAAGGATCCACAGAACAAAGGTGTCTAGTTTGGGGGAATTTGTTTTCCTGTATTTCCTGAAGTAGTCTATTGGTTCTTTCCCTCCTAGACAAAGAAAATGGCTTCAGTCCTTGCTGGAGATTTTCACTGCTTTTCTCTGGAAAACAGATATTTTCTTTTCCTGTTTAGATTGCTAGTAACTGCAGTGCGCATGGCAGAAGAATTTAACTGTCACCAAGTATTGGTAATACTGAAGACGATGCAGAAAATGAAATGCAGAGATTCTCATCTACTCAAAAAGTAATATTTTTGATACTACTAAGAGGTTGTATTCTCTGGGTAAACTATTTCCATTTAGTATGGAAAACTCTATAATACCTAATATGTTGGGAGTGGAGAGCACGTCACTTGCAGACAAATGCATATGCACTGTATATAATTGGCTATTACATAGTTTAAAATATCACAGCTTGACCCAGAAATAATTGAGGCAGTTTAGGAATTTCATAGGAGGACATTTCAATCCTACTATGTTAATGTAATATAATTTTTGCTTATTTAAAAATATGCGATCCTATTTGAGTAAAATTAGCCTCTCACAATTACTGTAAACTGGTGAGACAATTGAGCATATAGTAAATTGATGTGTCCTATCTAGGTGATCCTGTTACTGATGTCCATTTTTTCTTCAAAAGTCATTGTGCCCTACTTTGAGCTATTAAGTCTAGCATCTTTAAGAACCTGGGCCAGATTTTCTGCAGTTGCGCACTGAACATTGTTTATAGGGAGAGGTAATATATTTCACACAAAGAATGGAAAAGCAGCTGAGGTTTTGGGCACAGAAGATGTATTATCGGATATGTCACAGATGCAACAGTTAAATGCAAATTGAGAGCAATAACTGGATTGAATGTAGTTGTACGAAGCAAATAGATCCTTGGGGGAAAAAGGACAAGTAGTACTGTGGAGCAGAGTGGTTTTAAAGGGAAGACCAGGTGAATTCATGCTGCTTCTCCTTGAATCTCACTAAAGGTCTTAAGGTATTCTTTTTCCCTGCAAACCTAGCCAACTCTTGCAGCTGTAGCAACCACTATCATGTGAGTGAGTACAGTGGTGCTGAAGCTGGTGATGCTGTTCTAGTTTATCCCATTCTTGGTACACTCTGACCATTATTAGAGTGAAATAGCCATTTTGCTGTGATGAGGGCTTTAAGTTTGCAGCTCACTATGTAGAGAGAGGCTGCTATGTCTCAGTGGAACACTGTCAAAACTGAGGTGAAGAGGAGAATGGGTGTATGTAACCCTCCACCTAGGTAGTGTGCACTACAGGACACCCCTTCTTCATGTGGGATTTTGGGTTTTGTAATATCTTCTGTATTAGCATAATACCATGTCATCTTTTTCTCTTTGCATTCAGAATGACTTCTGTTCTGCACAAACATTTGGATAGCTATCATGTATTACAGTTGGTAAAGTTAACACAGTACTTGGTGGTGTTGCGTTGTCACAATCTGGAGCTGTTTGCCAAACTAAAAATGTTGCTATTTGGGTAAGTGTGTATTCTTGGAAATGTAGCTATTTAAGTATTAAACAGTTGTCTACTTAATATTTTTAATAACAAGATAAGATGTTCAGTTGGTTTCGTTCCATAAAATACAAAGAAGTAGCAAACTGTTAAAAGTTTTTAATTCTATTAAACATGTAAATCAGAGGATAGGAAGTGGATATTGTCTTGATTATAGACCCATTAGTGTCTGCTAATAGATACCTTTTAAAAAGAGATACTTTTTTATTTTGCCCCTTGGCCTCTGCAATATAATGACATTGAACAGGAAATTTTGAGTGGTACTTTATAGGAAGGGCAGGTATGAACGTTGTCTCTGATGTTTGAAGAAACAAGTAATGGAAAATATATGGTAAGAATGCCATGGTTGGGAAGAGTAAAAGTGTGAAGCAGAAGTACTCTTCTTTTGATGAACTGTCTAGTTAGTTCTCAGGGTTGTACAGTTGCAACACAGAAGAGGAAGCCATTTCTGGAATTGTGGGAGAAGGGATCTGCCACTGTTGCTTCTATTGCTCAGCCTCTATAGGAGTGCAGTGCCCTGGCTGTATGTGTTTTTTGTGGATGATGCCTTCATGTTCCTCAGGCACCTCAGAACCTGGTGCTCCCCAGGACAGGAATCACAGAAATTGCCCAGGTCCAGAAACCCGCAAACTCCATTAACAAAGGTGGACCTTCTGCCCCTTAGTAAGGACTCCTGTGTTGACCAGTAACACTTGAAGTCTCACCAGCTGACTGAGATGCTCCCTTGTCTTCTTCCCTTTTTCAGTTTTGAATAAATTATAAGGAAGAAGTTAATCTCAATGAAAAGGTAGTCACTAACTGTGAATTTTTACCGTGTCATTAGTATTCTACTTACTTTATATTTGGTGTGCAGCTTTTGAAGTTTAAAATATTTTTTCATGCATGTAATTAATTTGTTTTTTTAAACATTTTCACTTTGTTCATACTGATGGTTTGTTTTTATTGCTTTCTCCCAGGTTTTTAAAATCTAGTGTTGTACCTGCTGATACTGCTGCAATAATTCGTGTTCTGGCTATGCTTCCTCCCTTTCAAGTGGAGGAAATCATCATAAACAAAGCAGCAGCAGTTCTGCCTCAATGCAGGCTCCATCATTTGAATTGCATTGCTACAGCTCTTGTCAAATGGAATCATTGTGACCAGTTGCACTGGCAAAACAGTTCTGAGCTATGTGTACAGCTTCTGCAAAAACTAAATGACTGTGGATTTCAGAGGCTTCAGAAAGCCAACAGCTTAAATCTTCTGTTGGAAGAACTTACACATGTGAATGGAGAGTGGTTTGAAGAAGTCATGAATGAGGAAGCTATGGCCATGTGTCAACGCTTGATAGACCAAATAACGTGGGCAAATGTAATACAGCTGTCTTCTTTTCTCATGAAAACAAACTACTGTTGTCCTTCATTACTTGACAGAATAGCTTCAGTGACTGTTGAAAATATAGACAAGGTATTAAAGTTTTTCTTTCTATCTGCTGTGTAAGTTACTCAATAAGAAAATAGTTAATGTGTTTCAGAGCACAATCCACAACAGTGTTCCTGAGACTTTTCTTCAGTGTACCTGATTTGGAGCTCATCTTTTTCTGTGTTCACTCAAAGCTGTTTTGCACTTACTTGTCTTTAATTTTCCTTTCTTTTTTTATTGTTCAGTCACTGTTAAGTCAACCATAATCCTTTTCATTCAGCTTTAAATTTGACAATCTTAAATAATTTTTTTTAACTTCTTTACAAATAATCACATCACACAGTGTATATTTTTACATTACTCATTCTTTTGTGGATTTCCTCAATAGCCTGTCTTTTTTGTCAAAATTACTGTGTTTTCTTGCTATCTTTTTTTTTTCTCCTTCTCAACCTGGTATTTATATAGATCTTTGATTTTATTCTAGGAAAGTTTAGTTTCTTTAAGAGCATTTAATGGGAAACCTTTATAAAAGCTTCTTTAAGTATACAGAAACACTTGGATCTACATGAAATAGATTTTAAGTTTTAGCCATAGTTGCAATTTTAATGATTTCTGCATTTTATTTTTTTAATATTTTTCTTCAGGAAAAGATGACAGAAAATTGAGAAAATAGCTCACTAAGTGTCCCAATTCTGACCCTTCTTTATTGTAAAGCAGTATTAGGATATTTTGCCATGACTTAATTTAGGATGTCTTTTTTCCAGATCCACCCCTTTGAAATTTATTTTATTCTCTTCCTTTTCTCTGCTCTGAATTACAACCCTGCTGCCACTGAAGAGTTCTTTGAGAGTTGTATCCAGCATCTTACTTCTAACTTGAGTAAGTGCATTTGACAAAGATATTCTGACACCAAATAAATTAGTATCATTGGAAGATATTTGTACTAAATAAAAATGGGAATAGAATGGCTTTTTTATTTTTAAGCAAAGAAAAAAGTGTGTCTGTATGTTACTACTAATACTCTGCCTACTGGGGTTAAAACGAAGATTCAGTGTATGCTTCTGTTGGGTTTTCTAGATTCATTTCACTCTTTAAAAATTACTGTTGATAAGGGACTAACAGGGGATCTTGAGCATAGTAAAAAGCAAGGGAAAATTCAGATTAATTTGCTGTGTTGTTACTGAATAGAGTTCTTGCGGTGTTCCCCAAGGGATCATCGTTTGGGGACGGGATACATTTTGTGATTTTCATTACAAAGAAATGGCCAAGTTGTGGAGGAAATGTGTAGAGACAGTTTTATTTGACTGATGATATAGACTGACAGAACTATGAAAATTTGCTTTCTACTGAGATGTTGTGGAGTTACCTTTTTTTAAGACTAAGTAGTTTCCTCCTGGAAAGACCTGGCAAGAGTTAACGCCTTGGTGCAGTTAGCAGAGGTAGTCCTTAATCTGCCTTTGTGTTCATTTAGTACACTAAGAGAGGAACCTGAATGATTTGGGAGGCCAGGGAGAGGGCATCGCAAATCCTTTCAGCTTTATGTCGTGTTAATATAGATTTCTGTCTGTTTTTTAAAGGTTGTTTTGAAACTCACCACTTGGTGCTGCTTGGTCATGTTTTGGCAGTGGCTGGGTATTTTCCTCCAGTTCTGATAATGAGGATATTTAATGTTTTTTTCCTAAGCAAATTGGATGCTCAACTTGAAGGTAGATATAGCTCACTGATGAATGTGATTATGTAGCATTTGGCATAAAATGGAATTGTGAACCTGTATGTGACTTTAAAAGTAGAGTTACTCTTTAAATTATTCCATTGTTTGAAATTCCATCTTGAAAGACTCCTCTATATAATCTAGTCATCATTTGAGTGCTAAAAGGGAAGGAATGAACAAAAGTTTGTGGTTTATTTTAAAAGTACAGACTTGTATTGCAGATGGGAGAAGGTAATTTAAAATAAATTTTATAGTCAACTTACTGCACTCAGTATTTAATAATTCTCCAATTTTATTGAAAATAAAATTACCTGAGTGTGGTTTATTACTAGAAATAGTCACAAAGCTCAAGAAATAATGTGGGATTCTTGTCTGCAAGAAATGAATCCTGCCAGTCTCTTGTCTCTAAATAAGGGTCTGTGTTTGACTGTTTCCTTCATATCTACCTATACGTTGTTCGCTATCAATATACTGTTGCCATTTGGCCTTCAACCACTTCATTAAAAGTTAAATGGTAGAAGACAGTTTAAATTTCTTCTTTCTTCTGTCTTGCTGTTGTTCTTAATATTGAGCAAAATGGTTATTTTTCATTTTTTCCTCAGGGATTTTGAGAACCTTTCTAAGATTCTGCAGCATGAATTTTATAAGCACCATAGTATACAAATATTTGCATCGCTAGTAAAGAATTCAGAGGTAGCCATTTAGTTCAACATGTTGCATTTCTTACATTTCAGTTCACACCTTCTTATTTTGTTTAACTCAGTCCTGCCCGATACCCTAAAGCAGAGGGTCCGCTTGCACCTCATGAAATTGAACAGAGCAGTCTGTCTGGAATGTCCGGAGTTTCACATCCCTTGGTTTCATGAGCGCTACTGCCAACATGTCATTCATAACAGTAAGTAGTTTAGGAGAGGAAAGACTGCCCTTGTTACTAGTTATCGTCTACTTTCAATAGTCTGCTAGTTGCTTCTTATAAAACTATCATGTTGACACCAGCAAACAACAGAAGCTCAGAAAGGCACACCGCACTGTCTGCTGGGGATGTGTTCTTGAAAAGTGCAACCACATAGTAGTGCGACAGATAGCAAAGCAGTGTGTTTTCCCTGCGAAAATTAATGTAATGGATATGGGATATATGGGAAATAAAATTTAAATACACAGAAACTGTATATGACATGGAGGATGGAGAGGCAGGAAGAGGATCATTAGGATTGTCTACTGGAGGAGATGAGTCACTTTGATCCCTGTTTCTCCTACAAGAATGAACATTGACTTAAATTTTTCAGGGTGAGCATTTTTGCTGCCTCCTTTTGAACTCACTGCTGTTACCTTCCGCAGAAGAATCAAGATTCATCAAGTACGAGAGATGGAGCAGTAGGCTAGTGATCAAGTATAGCAGCTGAGATCTTTCGGAATAGCGATCAGTTCAGAAAATCCAGCTAATGCAAACTCAGTATCTCATCCACTAATTCTCATGGGGGAGATCCGCTTTGCTATCCATTGAACTCAGCTACTTTATCTCTGAAATGCTGGGGTTTCAACCCCAAGCCTCGAATTAAGGTTGACATATGGGTGATTCCCACAGGCCTTCACAAAGGGGGGTGGTGAGTTTACCTTTAAGCTTCCCTCCAGGGTGCAGCCGGCCTTGCAGGGAGAGCCATTGGGTAAATGAGCCCCAGGTGTCCCCCATTAAGTAAACAAGGGTCAGGTGTCCCACTTAGGGATAAAAGCTGGGACCACTTGCAGGAAGGGGCAGTGTCTATATGTGAGGTGGATGCACTTTGCAGAGTTTCCTGTTGGAGAAGGACCTCCTGCCTCCCTGGGACTGGGCTCCAGTCACGTCTGGCTTTTGTAAGTGCGGGCTGTGTGGAGATTGGGTATGTGGCTTCCTTGGTCTTATGTGTTTGGTTTATTGACTCGGTTGTCTCCCATCCCTTCTATGGGAAACTGCATTTCACCATTTATTCTACCTATTGTTGGTCATGTGGTGTTGTTCTTGGGGTCAGTGGGATTGATGTCGATTATGTATAATCTGACTTGTTTGTACCCCCAGCGCTCGCCCGTGTACTGACCCTTTTGTATCAAATACAATTTGGTTATTGGTTCATCTTTATGCTGGCTGTGTCCTTTATGCTAGGCCTAATAAGTGGCAAAACAATCTCTTGAGACTGAAGATGCTTAATGGAGTAAGGCATTAAACAATCTGCAACAGATAAAGAAGTGACAGATAGCGTGGTGTGCCTGTAATAGATGCAAAATAAGTAAATACCTTTTAAAGTGTGTAAGCACGATTAAAAGCAAACAAAATCCAACAGGTGAAACTTGAAACTAAAGTGTCTGAATGGGAAAATCCTGGGATGGAAAGTCTGGTTTTGGAATTCATACTTAATAGGCACCTGCCACTTTCCACCAAAAGATGATCACATGGTCTCTGAATTATGATAGAATAACAGCAGGAATCTATGAAAATGCTTTAATTCAGTAGGCTGGCTGTTAAAAATGCAGTGTCACAAAGTGCTATTTTCAAAACTTTGGCTGTGGAAGTTTTGATGTGTGAATACTTTATTTTGTCTTTGTAGGCAGGCGCCAAATAAATCCACTGCGGCAGCATGTTCACAGAATGCTGACAGAGATCTTAGGAGGGAGCCATTATGCAAGAACATCTGTTCTCACCCCATACTACTATGAAATAGGTGAGAAATTAATCCTCTAAGATTGCTATGGAGACTTCTGATACCATGATTATCACCAATATTAGGAAGCCCCTGGGCATGTGGCCACAAGATACTGCAAAGAAGAGATTGCTGTATAAAATACAGTTCCTAAAAAGTTCTGCATAATATAAATAATATCAGGTATCTCTAATTATGGTTATCACTTGGTTTTTCTAGAAGTAAACACTGTACAGATAAAATACTTTTTTTTTTTTTGGTCAGTAAACAGGTTTGTTGTGTTTTCTCACAGATATTGAGTGTGTTCTGGATGAAAATAAAAAGCCTTTTTCCTGTATGGCTCAGAATATACTTTTGGATGATGTGAAGCGAATACACTTGAGACATGATATCAAGGATGAAGCGAAAAAGGCTCTGCCACCAGGAGCTCAGAGGTCAGTACGCTGAATTCTTGCACATTAGCACTTCCAAGTTTAGTTCATGTTTAGGCCAGATTTTGATGCTTATATCCTAAATGCTTGTTGTAGCCCCTAGGCTATTTATTTATCTGTTCCTTTTTCCAAAGCCTTATGAGGTTTTAGCCTTGCTAGGTGTGGTGGGTTGACCCCAGCTGATAACTAAAGTCCCACTCAGTGGCTCGCTCACTCCCTTACAGTGTCATGGGGGAGAGAAACTCGAGGGCAAAAGCAAGGAAAAATAACTCCTGGGTTGCAATTAAGACAGTTTAAATAGTAAAGAGAAGAAAGAACTAAAAAAAAAAAAGGGGGGAAAGAAAACAAACAATACAAATGCTGTCACTTGCCACTGGCAAAGTAGTGGCTGCTTTGGAAAAACTCCCCCATTTTACATTTACGTTCCCCATGATATTTTACGATGTGGAATATTACTTTGGTCAGCTGAGGTTCCAGCTGGGTCCCCTCTCAACCTCTTGCCAGTGCTGCCTATATACTGTGGGTGCAAAGTGAGAAACAGAGAAGGCCTTCATGCTATGCAAGCACTCTTCAGCAATAGCCAAAATATTGGTGTGTTATCACACTGTTTTGGTCACAGATCCAAATCACAGGTCCATATGGGCTGCTGTGAAGAAAAGAAACTACATCTCAGCCAGACCCAGTTCACTAGGGCAGACAGAATTCTTGAAATGTGTTTTGTGAGATTGGAATACTGTTTCCTCCCACCTCTTCAAACGTTAGCCTTGAAAATGCTGGTTAGGTTTTTTGCCATTTGAACAAAAACAGGTGCAGGGAGGAACTTCTTTTTCTAAATCATGTGAAGTTCAAGTATCTCTGGATAAATATGAGGAAAATATCTAGTTTCAGGGGGTTGTTTCATTTTCTTTTCCTATGAATTTTCAGGCTTATCTAGTAATAGTCCTGCTGCAACTATCAATACTGAACTAAAAATACCACTTTTTATTGTTCTGGTAGGACTTAAAAGTAAATGCATATTTTTGTTGTTTGCAGAATTGCTTTGGAATTTCTTGATTCAAAAGCTTTTAGCAAACATTCACGTCACCTGAAGGGAGAACCTGCTGTGAAAAAAAGGCATCTGGAAATGCTGGGGTACCACGTAGTTCAGGTGAGCAGTCAGCAGTATTTTATGTCCTTTCTGAGTTGTATCAATAGTGCAGATTGATACATTTTCCTTGCAACAGATTTAGAGACTGTTTTAATAGTGATAAGCACCTACTGGGTGAGAGCAATTTTTGTATTAAGGGGGGAAATTCCAAGCTGTTCTCAAGATGGTGTAAGGACTTCATAGAACTTGCACCTTCTCTGGAAGTGGCTGCAGCAAAACTGAAGTCAAAATGTCTTAGTCCTTACCTTGCTGCAGGCTAAGTAGCAATCTTGAAGTAGCCGGAGTAAAGGAGAAAGAGAAACAAGAGTTTCAGTTCAATTCACCAAAGATTTCGACACTAGAAAAAGATTGAGCGTACCCTCCTTGAGTGATAGACAGTTATGGCAGCTGCAAGATGGGATATGGATGCTGTCTGTCTGCTGCAGTGATCATGCTGTGACAGGGAAGACTAGTGGTCAGAGATAATGCACAGCCACCAGCATAGAAACATTTGGGTAATGGGGCTCATGAATGCAGATTCTCCTGTATATATAATTACTCACCTACTCTAATTTTAGCTAGAATCCTTCTTTAAGCTTAAGTTTGGTTTTAGGTTTTTTTTTAACAGGATAATCATCCTTTCTCATATTGCTCTGACAGTAAATGTTATGCTACTGATACACCATTCCAGTTTGATACGTTAACACTACAGACTACAGTGAGCTGGGATTTTTCTCTCGATTTGGCTTTCAAAAGGTGGGAGATGGTGTAATGGTGTTGTCATAGTCTGTATTGCCTGGGCATCTCTGCAACTATGCTGGTTTTTGGAAGCAAACTGACTGTACTTACATGAAGAAGAATTTTGCATTGAGCAATGAATCTTTCTGATATTAGAATAAGCCTAGCTTTTAGAAGGACATAGGTGATAAAATATCTTCAAGTGGAGAACAACAGATATCAGAGAGCCTTTTCTTTGCTGTAAGATGGCATGTGGCTTATACCAGTGTTAACACCCGGTTTGTATAATTCTGCTTTACAGATTCCTCACTTTGAATGGAATTCTATGGTTATGTCAACAAAAGGTGAACAGCTAGAATATCTGAGAAAGCATTTATATGGAATACAGTAATGTCAGACATGCAATCAAAAGTACTTTTTATATGCTTTATGTACCATTAAACTTCTTGTAATCTTGCAATACTTAGTTTCAGAAATCTCTTTATTTGTGAGTCAACTGGACCAAGGCTTGCCATGGGGCATCAGATGTCAAGAGATTTAATCATCAATTTATTAGGGATTGCAAAAGGCAGGTCACAGTGGGCCATGAAGATGTGATAAGGATGCTTAAAATCTCCCATTATCTGGAAGTCTTCTTTAAGTACATGAGTCTGTGACAGTTTTGCCATAAAATTACATTGTTGTCTCCTAAATAAATAGCACAGAAGCTTAGCCAGACATAAAACTGTTCAAATAAAAAGTTGGAAATACTCTTGACTGTGAGAGAAGAGGCAGCAGATCTACTGGAAACTATGTCTGTTTTCCAGCATGTGACAGAATGAGCAATAGGGATCAAACAGTATCTGTACTGTGAAATCAAGAAACCAAAATGCAGATTTACTAAGAATAGGACTGCTATTACAGCCATTCTGTTTCCATCTTCCAGAACGGAGGCACTGTGGGTGACTCTGCTGGGGGAGGGTGCTGTGCCATGAGGAACCTCCAGCTGCTTCTCCTACCCTGTCATGTGGCATGTGCAGAAGAAGTAAGGCTTGAGCCTTCTGGAACACTTTCACATACTTAAAAGGTAGACTAGTTCTAGGGGTCTGGCAGCTACCCAGACACTTGAAACACCCGTACTCTGATTAAATGCAGCTTGGAAGGGATACCTGAAAGATTATACAAGATAAGGAGAAAACAATACTTACGCCAGACATAGGCACTTACTATCGACTGGATCACTAATGAAATTTACAGCATTATGCATTTGACTGGCCCCTCCAATAGAAATAAACCAAAATGAGACAAACTTGCCTGTTCTGTAAATAAGGCCATGTACAAAAGAGCAAAATTAGGCTGAAAATTGAAATCTGGAATCAAGATCAAGAAAAGTCTTCAGAGAGCAACCACCACCTTGGTTACTGGTGGTGAAAAACGTTACTGGCTTATTTATCATGTTTCAAAGCCATCTGCCAGTTACCAGGCTTTCTGTGATCATGCTCAGCCAGGGTTTCTGTTGGGAGGCATAAGATACTGAGACGTAGAAGGAAAAAGTGGAATAGCCAGGAGAATGTTCATTGTAGAGCAGTAACTATAGAGTGCTCAAGTCTGCAAACCTGCCCATTTTCAGAGGCAGCCATGTTGTGACTACAGCTGCCATTACCTCGTGACAACTGCCAGCTGTGCCCATCTCCTTCACATACACAGTGTGGATGTTTTCTTGCCTTTTAGTAGAAGCAACGCACTTTCTTTTTACCGCTTCCTTTGAAACCTAGCAGAGGTAAGCAACTGCATCTGAATGGACTGTTGTGGACATGGCTGTCACTTATTTTTTTACTACTTAGTAGTAAAAGAAAATACTTTTATTGTCTGAATACAAATCAGGACACTAATGAAAAGCCAAGAAAAATCAACAGAACTGATCTGAGCTGTAAGGTGCTTTCCTTCTGAGGCAGCGCTCCCTCACGTTTGTGGGATAACTGAAAAAACTAGCTGATTGTTATCTGCTTCTGGTATCAAATGGACAAGGGCTCCAAGATGTAGGAGACGAGTGCTTTGAGGAAATGTTGAAGGCACAGCACATAGAAAGGCTATGCACATTACATTTTGTATAAAATGGAGAAGACAATCATAAATACAGGTCTTGGAAGGTGAGCCATAAGTCAGAGGCCTTCAAGGTGCAACCCTGAAGCATAAGAAAGGGGGTAGTGGCTGCAGCTGAAGTGATTAGTCATGGGTGGTCATGTGTTTGAGCTGAACCCTGCTTTTCAGGTATCCAGCTGTCAGTGTGCCCAGGCAGGTATTGTCAAGTTATATATGGATAAAGTTATGGGTATTGACTGGGAAGAGTATTAAAACTTGCTAAGAGTGGATTCTGAAAGGGCATCTAAGAAAGCAAAAAAAGTAATTTCAGTAAATAGAAGTTTAATTATTTAAATAACTACTGAAATATTTATTGACTGAAATAAGTATTTCAGTAAAATGCGCTGCTTTTGATCCTTTGCAGTCATTCCTTCTAAATTAAATCAGGAAGTGTTAGAGCAGATGGGCTGGTGTAAACCAGTGATTTAACTGGAGCCAATGAAAAGATGCCAAGAACAGCTGAAGATTTGGGTATTAAAGAGGAAAACAGAAAAGATGTCCCACAGATTAAGTATTGGTGTACAGTAACATCCTGAAATGAACTATGATGGCTGGGCCCTTGCCATATGTTTACCTCTGTCTCCTAAGAAGGCAATGCAAGGGCTGATTTGATAGCTGGAATTGCTATTCAGGCAGGTGTGGTGGGCTGCTTTTCTAGTTTTTCTGCTACATCAGTTGTAATTAGATTTAGATTTATGATACCCTCTTTATTCAATGAAGAAATCCTTTGAAGAGTTACTCTAAAAACAGTGGGCATGCTCTGCTTTAAGAAAACTGAGTGCTCTGTTTTGGGTAAAGGCTGTACTAAGAAATGTGTATCCTGTCAATGTAACAGTGATGATGAGCTGATGTCTAGAAGAGACACCATCAAGTGACACTTTTATAGCTTTAAAAACAAAGTTTAATTGTTAAAAGTTTCAACAGTAAAATGCATCAACGTTTTATGAGATGGAAAAGTCTCCTCTGCTGTAGGTATTTGATGATCAGTTCTTTTAGGTCTTTTTAATGAATGCTTGTTAATGGCCTCAGATCTCTGAGAAAAACTTCCATAAAATATTTACTTTGGAAATAAATATAAAAGCATAAAAAAGTGGAATAACCTTGTTATCAGAAGCCTAAATGTAGTAGGTGAAACAATAGAGCTATTAACCTTTGAATGTCTGTCTGTGTCTCCTCACATCTGGCTACTAGTACAGCTTTGAGATGATTGGCATTTCCTAGGCCACATAGTATTAGGCCACTTTAGTTTTCAATAAGCACTTCCATTCCAGACTACATTATTTTTAGAAGGGTCTACTGAAAATATTTTTAAAATATGGCTGAAGAATGGAGGATCTACATACATTGCTAAAGGGGGAAATCAGGCTGTACAGCCAGTTAGAATAAAACTAGCTACCTACTGGTTGTATTGATCTTAACTATTAACGCATGGGCATTGTTTGGAGGATAAGGCACCAATACCCTGAATTGTCCTAAGTGTAAGGAAGTCTTGCTAGTTTTATTGGCAACTTCACAGAGTGAAAAAATGGAGTTCTCTCTGAAATCTTAATTTATTCTAATCAGCATTGTTGATTAGAATTTTTCAGGATTTTAAACGTTGGCAAAAATTCAGTTGTTGGTTAGCTAGTAAATATCTTAAGACTTGGACAGACAGATGAACTGTTTAACAGTTAACAGTGTTACTAGTATGCTGCTACAAAACGCTGTACAATATGGGGATGTTTTCATGCAACAAAACAGGAAGAGCCTCTTGAAACTCCCTCACCATATCATATTTTCCAGCATTTTGTTTACAGTTTTGATAACTTGAAGAGGTTTAAACGTGTAGCCAGGCAGGATGCTCCAGTAGCATATCGGATCTCTTTCAGTATGCCAATCCATTCCTTCTTTTCATCATCATACCTGCATTTAGCAAAATAAGGTCAGAACATATCTTAAAATTTTGAGTTTGATGCTTCATCACACGTACATGAAAAGTAGGATAGTCCACATGTTACAAAGGCCTGTTGCAACCGTGTGCTGAAGGATGCTACAAAAGGCTGATTTTGTTCTCTAGAACAGAACGGAAGGATGTTTTTGTCCATGTGAGTTGTCCTTTTCCTTGTCCCTAAAGCTTGTTGCTGGCCTGTGTCATACTTTAATTACTCCTATAAAAGCTTCCTCCTTATCTTAAGTATCTCCTTGGAATTTCTTCAGATTCTGACATACAAAGGTGTTTTTATCTGGGAATCCTTCCAATTTTTCTGCCAGTTAAAACTCCCGAATTACCTTAGCAACTGAAGAGTCACAGCAGAGAGGGGATGCTTCATCACTGCTACTGTGATTTAGATTTTTTAAAAAATCTAGGAGACAAGGATTTCTGATTCTCCTGGAACAATTACTTATTTGACTATTAACACATGAATATGTACAAACTTCTGTGTATACAGGCTTTTCTGCCTAAGAATGTCACAAAACAGAATGTTTTTATAGTACACTTACAAGGCCAAACCTGCCAAGAGATATGGCAACTTACTCTCGTTAAGAGTAAAAGAACTGAAGATCATGACTCAGACTGTTCAAATTATTAGTAGGTGGAAGTAGTCATTAGATCCAAGTCTCATGTTTATTTGTTACTTTCTGACAAACACTTCTGTCTGTCAGCAAGTGCTTTACAACCTGTGCTATGGTTCATTTCCAGAGTTAAACAGAAAACTAATTTTACCCTCCAGTATCTACAAACCTCAATTTTAGATACAGCTTTTCAGCAGGAAAGTGTGATTAAAATTAAACTTACTTCCATATGTCAGTGACTTCGCTGGGTGCAAATTCTTTAGATTCAAGCTGAATCATTGCAAAGCCTCCAATAGCATACAAGGCTCCACCTAAGGTGACTAAACTGATGGAACTTCTCTCTTGGGGAAATTCAGGCATAATCTCCCACCTAAAGATGAAAAGAAAAACCTAAATTAAGTAAACACATGAGAAAAGTGAATGCACTGAAATACACCTCTAGGTGACCTCAATTCAGGCACCAAGGACCGCTTGCGTGAATGGTTTAGTAAAAGAATGGTTTAGTAAATTTATCAGCTGGGAGCTGCAGTGTCTCCATCCCCACAGGGACTTCCTGCAAGTCTTAAGTGACAGAATTACACTGTGATGACAATTCTTCCCAGAGACCACTCCTTACAGGTCACCTAGTCCTATTACCAGTAATATGCTTTATACAGAGGTATTGTTCCCCGGCTGCTCTCATTTTTTTCCCTATATGCATTTTGGAAATGATTCATTTCAAGTGGCACTGACATAATTTGAGTTTAAAAAAGGTCACTGGAGTTCATTAGCATAATTTCAAAATATCTGACAAGTCACATCTACAAACACAGAAAACATACAGACATCCCAATTCTGGATAATGTCAACATCAAAACTAATGGGTTAATTTGTCTCTCCCACTGTTACTTGACTGTAAGAAAACAGAGTAAACCATGACAAGAACCTGCAGATTTTTCAGAACACAAGTTGCACATGTTTCTGAACAATGGAAGAGAAGAATGTGCCAAGTGTCACAGTAGCAAAATGACCTTTACTTTTCTTTGCTTCCTATGGAAGGTGTAAAGTCCAAAGTTCCCTCATAGAATTATGCATATAGAAAATGTGCATAATTCACATTCTGTATTGTTAAATTTTATAAGCAAGTCTCTTTGGGATAGCGTATATTCAAGTCAAAGCTTTTATTGTGAGGTTGATGGCTGCAATGACACCTGTCAGTGAAGACAGCACAGCCAAGTGTGTTTATATACAATAGAAGTGCTTATTTGTAAAGTAAAGGTGCATCCAGGACCACCTACAAGTTTAAGCTACATAATAAAGCTTTGCTGATATTATTTTAAATGAAAGTTTGTAAATAAGATCATAGGAAGGAAAAGTAACAAAAGTAACAGGAAAATTGAAGAGTAGAAAGACACAGATACAGAGGGTCTAAATTCCTGGAAAAGAATAAACATTTGAGGGATGCTGGCTGCAAAAGATTCTGACTGTGAGGAAGAACACTGGAACATACCTGGACCCAAAAAGTAAACTAATTCCAGATGTGACTCTCTTTTGTCATTGCTTTTTCTTTATAGTATTTCAGAGCACACACTTAAAACTGAAAGTCTTCCTGGAGTTTTCATATTAAATAAATAAGCAGAACTATCTGCCTGTTATGAACTAGTGGTTATTTTACTAGTGGTAAAAATTGTATTTGCTATGACAAGTTAAGTGAACAGCAAGACATCACAAGGCCATGTACCCAAAGAACAACATTCAGCTAGTCCTGTTCTGGCACCCGATTTCTCTTGCTGGGGTTTTACGTTCAGTGCCAGTGCTGTTTCAACTAGATTGTGCAGCCCTTGCCCATCTCTCCCACTTCTCCCCTCTTATGCCAGTACAGCTGTTTCTGTGGCTGTGTGGCCAAGTGAAGTGGGAAAGTAATCAGACTTAAAAAAGATTAGGGGGTGGGTTATTTTTGCTACATGAGCTCTTTGATCATGTTTGCAATGCTAGCATAGAAAATGTGTGTGTGTGTGCAGGAAAAATGGCCAGAGATATGGGCTCTTTAAGATGCTGCTGCTGTGGCTAAAGATGTGAATGTAGACAAAGTGTCTCAGTGGGAGTACAGGCACCTGAACACCTTTGTGACTCTTACCTCAGACATCCTAAAAGCCTAGATGATAAAATATTAGCTGAAAAATGGCTTGAATATTGCACTCACTTATTGGTGGTCAGATCAAAAGCTTCAACAGATGCCGTAAGGCCTTCTTCAGTGACGCCACCTGCAATGACAATCTTGCCCTTATGGATAGCCGTTCCAAACATTGAGCGAGCCACTTTCATTGGAGCCAGGTCTCTCCAGTCTCCTTTCTTGGGATTGTATACAAATAGTCTATTAGTGCATTTCCTGGGGAGGAAAAAGAAAACTTGTGATTATTTCTAATGAACTTTTGGCTTGGTCCAAGCAAGACCTAGTTGAGGTGGATTGTTTTGGGTTTGTGTAACACCTCTTTCCTCTCCATAAGCACCTTTCTTGTATCTAATCTGGGAATCTTTGCATGTCTACAGCACACTAACCACATCCATAGAACTACATCAAATGTTAAATGCTGCTTACACAGGGCAGCAATTTCACTGTACCTTACAGGAGAATGATAATGTTCTTTCCTAGCGCATTCTATTCAGATGGTTTTGTGGAGAAATGGATGACAAAGGTTATAAAAGATTATGCTACTGTTTTTGGCTGATTTTTCAAGCTTGTATCTTAAGTGTCCACTATACAAACACTGAAAAATTACCACCACATGCTCAGTGTGAGTAAAAACTTTGATCTTCCTAGCGTTACACCCATTAAGATACAACAGGCATCACAGGTCAGAAAATTTGAAAAACTGACACAGTGATTCCATGGCACCTAAGTATTTCTATCTGGAAGGCAATAATACTTTCAGTGAAGGTCCTCATAGCTATATATTACTAATGTGTCTCCAGTGTAAGTAAAATTTGCCTTGGAAATAAGTATGGTCATTAAAATAACTAGTTGGGATTACAATTTATATGCAATCTTACCTTATAATGGAAAAAATATCCTATATACCATAATGTGTTCCCCGAGATGTAAAAAAGGGAGACCCTCATTTCTGAGTGTGAGGGAAAGTAACCTCTAAAAGACCAACCAAATAATGTCATAAATTGTCATGAAAAGACTTAGAGACTCACTTATCATCAGTTTTTCCTCCAAGGCAATATATCAATCCATTGTTTGAGATGGTAGCATGGCCATATACTTTGATGGGTAGTTTTTTGATCTCACCCCATTTCATTGCCCTGGAACAAGAAGAGTATCACTGTTAGGCTCTTTCAACTAACAGTGGGCTATTTACACGTTCTCAGTGGGAATAATTGAATTTTAAACATACACAGGATCATAGCACAATACTGAATCTAGAGACTCCTCAGTGCGAAGGTCCTTGCCAGCAATTACATAGATCTTGCTGTCGGACTCTCCCAGGCCGAAGAGACACCTGGCTGATGGCAGTGGAGGAAGTGCAACCCACTCACCAGCGACGCTATCCAGCTGAAAGAGCATCAGAACAGGAAGTGTTAGGAAAGGCAAATAGTAAAAATCCACACAACAAACACTGTTCCACAAAATTGCACTTGGCATCTCTCAACAACTCATCTGCTTGACTGCAACCTGCCCTTCCTTCAGTGCAGCTAATGAGTGATGACTTCTACCCGCCCATGCTTCACAGTGCTAAGACCTAGCAGAGTCAATGCCAGGCAGCTCTCTTCGCATCTGCTCAACCTCACTCAGCCTCACAGAGTTTCTTTGCCTCTTTGTTAAGCTCTTCTTCCTTGTTCAAAGGTCCCTCACTCTCTGGGTTCCCTATAACATGTTTGAAAGAACAAGTTGTTCTTCTTCCTGCCTGAAGGGAGCAGACACTCCTGCCATTTCACACCTACACATTTAGCCTGTTGTGCTCATCGCTAGAGAGATGCCAGACATGCTCACACCGTTCCTCTTCATGGTCAGGAAATATTACATGGCAAATGGCACAGATGTTTATTCTCCAATCCCTAGAGCAGAAGAGGTGGTATTTCATCAAAAATAGCCTCAAAAGCTCCTCAAGATCTCTGATGGCACAATGAATAAAACTTTACTCCTAAGCAAAAAAGGCAGGCAGTGCAGCTCCATTGCCAACAATATTGATGTCATCCTTACTGAAGTGCTCTCACAGCTGTCCCAAGTCACATCCCGTATGCTGAAAACACCTAAGGAGAAGCAGCAGAAGGAGGACAGCAGAAAAACAAACAAAACAAAACAGTATTTTGCTAGAACTGTGGTGCTTAATTTTTGTTTTGATCTGAGAACTTACAATTGAACCTGAATGCTCTCTAACATTCAGAAAGAGTATTTTCTCTCTTCTATTGCATAGATATTTGCTTCACAATGTACAGGAAGGGAAGGTAAAATGTGAGTTTGCATGAGCATAAAGGTGAGAGAAAGTTCAGTCAAAGTAATCAGATCTGGGTATAGCTCAGTGACATCCTTTTTCCAGAAGTATGTTCCACAGTCAAGGTCTCTGTGCTGAAATGCATCTCCCAGATTTGATAGATCAGCCCTATTGGACAGGGAGTTTTATTGCAACAGTGAAATTTAGATTCATTACCCCAGTAGCTGAATCTGGTGGCGTAATGAGGAGAAGATATACCCATCACAGATCACAGCATGCTTAGTGAATCAGTCTTGATGATGACTTATCTACTGATGATAGGAAATAAACTAGTCATGCATTTTTGAGCCAGTGGCAGCCTTGTTTTCTCCTGAGTTGCTAGCTACCAAATAAAATGGTAACAGGTGTCTCGCTGGTGGAGAAATGGGGATCACTAAGTGAAAATCAGTTTGGCACCATATTAACATTTTAGAGGGAACAACAGTCCCACGGGTAACAGAGACAAGTATTTTAACTGTAGGCAGTAGCAGCAGCAAGCAAGGTTAAAGATGACAAGAAAGAGAGCAGGATATCAGGAAACAGACATAGACATATAAAGTAGGATTCTGAAAACATCAATTTTTAATATCAATCTCAAGGTTTAATTTTTCAGAGACCCCTTTCCAGTAGACTGAGACTATTCAGTTCTGGATTCTATATATTATGACATCAACACAGTATTTCTATTAGAATAATATTTCTGTAACAAGTTTTTCACTTTAGTGATTAGTGTTTTACACCTACATAATAGTGCTAATCCCTCTCTAGCAAGCTAGACTTCTCTCTCATAAATAGAACAAACACCTGAAACCAACTGTTTCACTGTGTGTGAAATCAGTGAGCCATACTCATATAAACACTTAAGATTTGCATTTTCAAATATCTGAAAAAATCTTTAAAATTCTATCACTGCTTATCACTCTGCTTTATTTTCTATTGAAACAGGACTTACTTTCACTCTTTTAGGCCAATGTGCCTAAAGACAGGACATGGCCAAGAGCATATTCCATAATTCACCACAAAATAGTTTAAATATCCCCCAAAGCATGTGGCCAGGTAGCTAAAACCATCACAACATTAGTTTATTGTGTAAGCCTGCTAGATTGTATTTTTGCTAATTTTTCTGATATATGTTGCAGAATACAGTTTGTATTAGTTGGCCTTATATTTATACAGATTCACAAAGATATAAAATGACAATCTTGGTTGAAACACAGTATTTACTGTACTGACATTGACAGTTTGCCAAGAGAAAGAACAACCTTCTACCTCTAAATTAGGTATTTCAGAATGCCCTTAGGTTTTCAAATGTAGATGCAACAAAAGGGCTTCTGGAATTTTAGTGACAAAAAAGTGGCATTTAAAATATGCACATTACTGCTGTAATAAAAATAATTCAGATGCAAAAAAAGGAGACATCTTATTAGATCTGAAGCAGCTAAGCACTCAACTTTCATGGATGTTAACAGAAATTCACAAAAGGTATTTTACAACGATATGATTAGGCTTAAACTTAGGCACCTGTACCATGAGAAATCTGGGTCTTAAACAATAACAGCCAGTGCCTAAATATAATATATTAATCCTTTTAACCTTTTCTGAGATCTCATCAGGGGCTTGATCTTGAGAGAGAAGATGCAAGTCCCTTGGTTTCATTTATCTTTCGCAGACCGGAATAACTCTCTATAGGTAGTTCTCTCCAGCGACCGTACAGAGACCAGACAACTCACTTGCACAGACCCAGAATACATTTCAGTAACTCTTACAGGCACTTAGTATTGCACCACTGATTACAAAGCTTATACCTGGAAGAAGTATGACTGGAAAGGCTGATCCTTGTTCTCCTCTTCCACATAAAGTCCTCCAACAATGTAGACCTGATTTTGTTTGGTGACTATACTGGAATGATTTCTGGGAATCTGTTCTGCCAGGGCTGCTAGGTAGCATTCGTTTTCAAGAGGATCATAAGCTACTGCAGCAGTGTCGTTAACCAGAAGAATTAGGTCTTTGACAAACATGCCGTGCCTGGGAAGGTCATTTAGGTAGCCAGGCAGTAAATCTTCATCTCCTACATCACCATTCACCTCCCCTTTGGTTGACTTTTCTGTACTTTTGCTAGAGTCGGGCAGTTTTCCAGCAAAAGCATCCTTAATAATCTTTACTTTTTTCTGAAGGTCTGAGTTGCTTTTAATTATATCATCCTTCTCAACGTGTTCTTTGAAATATTTTTCTGGCATAAGACGAAAACGTATGCAGTCAAAAATTTCCCCCAGGCTCTTCACTCTGTTCTCCTTGTCTGTTCGGACCCATCTCATTACTGCTTCAAATACCAGTTCTTCCTTCTCTACATTTAAGCTGTCAGGTGAAATAACTGAGATAAGTTCATGCGGGGCAAGCTGCATGAAGTCCTCTTCTTTGCAGATCTGCACAAAATGATCTGAAACAAAATCACGGGCAGAAAATGCAAGTCTTGGGCAATCAAGCAGAACACCCAGTCGGAGGATGGCCAGGCAGTTACCAACAGCAAGCCTCTTCTGAAGATAGGAGACGCACACAGTGAACACAGAAGGGATCTGAAAGCGACTGGCCAAAGCAAAAATATCTTGCACGTTAGAATCGTTAAGATCAATACTTGCTGAGTAAAGGTATTTGACAATCATATCCAGGATGTTGGGGTCGACATTATCTAGAACTACCTCCTTCTTTTTTTCTTCATTTTGCTCAGATAAGAAATACTCACGAAAATAAGGGCTACATGCCGACAGAATCAATCTGTGGCAAGGCAGGCTTCTGTCACCAGCTTTTAGAGAGCAATCTATAAACTTTTTCTCTTCAAGGAGTTCCTTGAGGCCATCCTGAAGAAGGGTGGATTGGTAAAGTCTGAGCTCTTCAGTGAGTTCCCTTTGGGAATCCATTTTGCAAATACTTGGGAAAGGGGAGGGAGCAGAAAGCTTTAGTTGTTGTCTGCCCAAAGGTCTGTCTGTAAAAAAGGCAGACCAATGTGCTTTGCCCAGCATGGAGCCTCTGCAACTTAATCTCGCCAGCTAATTATAGGTACATACTCTTACAGGTTGGAATTTAGGGTGGATGGTTTGGAAAAAGAGTTGCTCTTGCAGCTGTCAAAGACTGAAAGAAGCAACTGTTGCTTTTAGTCACTATGGTCAGGTTTTGCCATCATTCTCCACAATGAATCAATGAGATTACGTGCAACGTAAGAAATTATTTGAGTTGAGTAAGGACAGCAGAATCTGACCCTCAGTGAGACAGCCATGAGCAAGATTGTAAATATACATGTTACCAAATATTCTGAAATAGAAATATTAATCAAGTTGTCAGCTACAACTACTGTTCACTTTTTCAGAGCTGCTTAATACTTCTCATTGCTGCAGTCATAAAGATGTTAAAAAACTCCAGATCTTTACATCAATTATCTATACTCTAAGATTATTTTTTTACATACCCATATCACATCTGCAGTTTCATCAGATATTAATACTATAAAATTAATTTTGAGCTGCTTCATAATATCCATTTGGTTATATTAATTTGTAAACAAAACCCTACTGTTTAGACATAAAATATTCAGGCAAAGTTCTGCTTTCAAAAATAATTTTAAATTAAGTTTCCACTCCCCCTTAATAAACATCATTCTTAATTTCAGATAATCTGCAGACATTATCAACCCTTTTAAATTCAACTGCACTGAAAATGGTGTTAACTGCTGTTAAACAAAAGCAAAAACAGTACATAGGAAAGGTAGAACAGAGAATTAAAAACATGTAATCCACCATATTAACATTATTTAATGGATGTGTAATTTAAAAAAACCTAAACATTTCTGAATTTAAAAACTAAAAAAGCCCCAAATCAGACTAGTTTGAAAAGTGAATGTGAATTTAGAAAAATTATGCATATGTTGAAGGTTTCACAATTTAGACTGGGAACGTTTATATTTTTATTAAAGGTTGTCATACACATCCAAAACATTTGCAACTTTAAGTTGTTTAATGTACCTTGATGAAGGACTGTATTTTGCCCAGATAGAGAATGCTTTTTACCCATATGGTAAAATGTTCTTTGAATGTAACAGAAACAGGATGAAAACACAACCATTTGAATGCAAGAACTACAACAAGGTATAACATTATCAAATTTTATTGAAATCATAGTGATTTTTAATATAGGTAATATTTCATTAAAATACATACTTTGAGAGATTTTCTACAAACACGACAATTATATTCACACCACAGTTACTTTACTGTAACAGTCAGCTGCTAAAACAACAGCTGGGAGGAGAGCTCATTTGACTTTTTCCACTTATAGAAAATAGCGCAGAGGTCTTATCTCACTAGAAAACATAACAGCTGCATCTTCCTTTAAACAATAAATGACTCATTTCTCTCTAACACATAACATCATAAAGGTCTAATGACTCAGACACAGAAGCTATTTATGTGTGCACTTTTTTTCTAGATCATTCCTTTAAAAGAGTTCTCTAGAAAAAGAAAAGGGGGGGGGGGAATCTGTATAAGGATACCTGGATTACAATTAAGTACCTGGAATGATATGTGCTGAACATTTAACAAAATTATGAGACATCAAAACTAGTATTTGGAACAGTATTGCTTTTCATTAAAGCTATTGGTAACACAGCACCGCTGCAACGACAGAGCCAACATGCCTAGATACAAAATGTTCTACATATGATGATATTTCTATGTTGCACAACATTAAGCAAGTTATGGAAATTTGATTTTGATATAATCATTATGGGAAAGTACGTCACTGTGTATATTGAGCATCACACTATACACCACACACTGCCCTACCCCAAATGGTGGTCTCCATGCAGGTAGGAGGTGGCTGCCTTTTCTGACATTCTTCCAGGTAAAATGGCAAAAAAAATGGTGGCTACCTGCCATAAATGGTGGCTGAAACACTATGGCAGACCCTGTGTTGTTAGGGGCGGGGGCTTCCTGCTCTGACCACCTTCTGGGCAAAGCAGGATGGGGTGGCTGGTCCTGCCAGTCACGCTCCTGAAAACCCCTGGGGTACAAGTGTGTCAAAACCCGGAGTCAGCCAGTCACAAAGCACTATGAAAACGTGGGCTATGACATTTCACATAACGGTGGCTGAAATAAAATGGCAGCCACCACTCATGTGGTGGAGAGAGACTTGCAGCTCCTTACGGCCTGAAACAGGAGGGTCTTCTCGGGTCCTCATACCATGTGACCCGACAAAGGGTGGGACTTCCGGAGCTTGTGGAACAGGGCCCTGACTGCGGGCGGGGCTTCCAACAGCAGCTGGGGCCCCGCCTCTTCCCATATTAGATATCGCTTGTCCTCTCACTACTTACAGAAACAGTGTATTAAATACAAAGCTTTTACACATATGACGGTTTTGAATAATCTTTCCTTTATGACATATCCTGAGGGCATACTATCTAATATTTGCTTGCTTTTTAGCTTTGGCATATTCGTTCTCTGCTAGTCTGATATTTCTAAATTATCTTCTACAGATCTCACAAGCCCAGTAAGAACTGAGGGTCTTTCCTCGCTTAGGAAACAAACACGTGCCACTCTACATCAGGTCATTACTTCTCAGAGTCCCTGAAGTGTGAATCCATCCTTTAGCTTCTCAATTGCAAGTCCTAGTTCTTCTGAAAAAACAGGCTCCCCATCATGTTGCTTTTTTGAATGCATGACATAAGAGAGGAAATAAAATAAAGCAGAGGGTACTCTTTAATTTTACTGTCCCATTTTAAGAACATGAATTTGGTAGTATGACAAAAGATGTTCTTACCTTGTTTTCATCAGCAAAGTAAGCCTGGAAAAGAAAGAAAGAACTCATAATCTCAGGGACAGAAAAGTCTAAAACCAAATCTGTTAATAATTCCTTGGGGTAAAAATTGTATTTGATAAATCGTCTTCAACAAACCAGTCTGTATGGTTTTTATTTTTGTAACTTATATTGTAAACAAGATCAGTTTTTTCTATGTTGAAATCATTTACAGAAGAGTTCTAACAGAAGTTGGTGATTATGTTGTTTTCCACTAAATACCAATCTTTGAATTTTCCATCATAATAAACAAAAAGTTTTAAATGGTAAAATTTTCAGATTACATCTGTTACATTGACAAATACTTTATAGGTAATAAAATGTTAATAGGAAGGCAAACTGACAGCATTCTAGCATTTTCTGCCTCATGTGCAGCAGTATTTATTATTCAATTTCAAAAACTAACTTAAAATGTATAGGTAGTATCAAAATTCAGTTAACATCATACTTAATCTAAGAAATGAACACAGAGTAACTGAAAAATTAACCAAATTTTTCTACTCTTAAGACAGAGATCTGGGAAAGAGATACAATCTTTCTTATTCTGTGTGTGCAGAAGTTCAGGCTCAAACCCCTCAGGAAACCAGATCTCTGAAAATATCCCCAGGTCTAGAAGTCTCTGGACCAGTGGGCTCTAGATCTTCTTATTTACTAGAAGAGCCTGGTCTTGCTTCAGCTGCCCCTATGGACTGGCGAGGGGCAGCAAAGAAAGCATTTTCCTTCTCAGCTGGATCTCATGATATACAAGACTCTACACTGCAGTCATCAAGTGTCATGGAATATTGGTGTGGAGCCACTCCTTGAGTCCTGGACAGTCTGCCTCCTATAGCAACCACCTTCTAGTCATTTACAGCTTCCAGTTTTTCTTTTAGAATATGCACAGAACAGTTATTTAATCCAGCTGACAAAGACACCAACAGAGCAAACAGAATCTACCTTTAAGGAAAAGGTAAAAGTGTGCAAAAATGAAAAGAAAAAAGGCAAAAAGTGAGGAAAAAGGAGGGAAAGGAAGAGATTAGAGCTTATCTGCAACAGTAAATGACAGCAAAAGAAAAGAAGGTGGAAATAAGATTGGTGCTAGACTGCTAATCTTCCAAATTTCAGAGATTAATTAAGAAAACATGTAAATTGTGGATGTGTCAAGACTAGCATTAAAAAACTTGTGCAGCCTACCTGTGCAGTCAATTGTACAGACAGGTGTTACTGGGTTGCACAGAAAATTTGGAAAAGTCCTAGAAAGAAGGTTATCAACCAACCTAATACATTAAAAAATAAATTTTCCTGAAATACTGGGAGACAGATACTAATATGATTTTCTATACTGGTATTGTCAGGAGTACAAAGACCATCAGAAGTGACTCAAAATTATCACTGCCTTTCTAGAAATCTTTCAAGATTGAATCTTAGATGAATGTTGAGTGTATAGATATCAGTATCTATTAATCTGCTCCAAGAGCATGAAGACTTGTTTTAATATAATGTATCTGATTATATTCTACTGCTGGTTTTCAAGCTATTCCTGACCTTAATGTATTAAGAAGCAACAGACAACTATTACTTTAAATATCGACTACAAACTATGAGTAATAGATTGTTCTTAAGTTAAAAATCCATACACAAAATAAATACCTGTAGTAATCAGGATTTTGTATAAGAGGCATGTAGGTGTGTTTTAAATATAGGAAGTTCAGTTGTAGCATATCTTTAATAGAGGATTACAGCTGTACATTGCTTACATTTGAATAACCAAACAAGAACTATTTTAATTTTTAGTTTTCTGTGGAGCAGCTTACCACAAAAGCATCTGTATGTTCATCAGATTCTATTTCTACATCATCTTGAACCTGCTCCACTGTTAGGTCTTCAAGAGGTTGAGGCTGCAAATGAAAACACTGAAGTATGTAAATCCATACATCTAATATCTTTAATATATTTTTATTACTGCTGTAATACACAATATTGTATCAAATTTAAAATAAATGAGTGAATTACCTTTTCTTCCATTTCATAATCCACTCCAAATATAGGGTTAGCTGAATAAACTCTGTGAAGTGAATTAATTTCTTTCACTGCCTCCTGTAGTTTCTCCACAGGGTCTATTTTAAAACCAAGTACATATCCTCCACTCTATATAACAAAAAAAAAAAAGAAGACATATATTTATTAGTGTTGTTTATTAACAACTTTTTTCCCTTGACAGGGATTTTCAGTTTAGTGCAAGCAAATTCTAGTCTGCTGATAAAACATTATCTGTATTTTGGTATTATCTTATAATACCAAAACCATGAGTGTAATAAAAAAAAAAAAAAAAGACAAAGCTTCTCTATGAGGTAAATAAGCTTTTAACTGTTAGCCCATTATATAAATGGGGAAAAAACTTTTTACACGGAAAAACAAAAACAAACAAGGGTGAGAGAAATTCATAAGAGATACTAATGATTTATTTCTAGCTACTCAGCAAATGTTTATTATTAAAGAAGCTTTCAGATACAGTAAATAAGTACGACTTTTTAAAAGTTGTGTTCAAAAGGCCACCCAGAAGGAACACTCTGAGTACCTTAAAAGTAGCCCTATAACATTTCAGAATTAGAGAACTATTATATATAAAAAATGTAACCAATGAAAAAAGGTTATTAAAGCTTCTTACCTGCTGCGAACTCTCTATCACAAGTGCCAAGCCAAACTTTGAGTCTCTTATTTTTATTGAACGCTAACAGTAAAGAGGTAAAAATTGGGTGTTAAAAATTTTGGAATTACCTGACAAAAATCTGCTTTATCTTTTTTCTCATCCTGTACTAATAACTGGCTCTGGAAGGTTGGCTACCAGCATTCCTTCCCATTTATCATAACAAATCTGTACCCCTGAACCTCAGGGAAAAGTGTTTTCATCAGAAGTGGTGAGTAGTAACAGTACATTTCTGAATATCAGGTTCACAGATCATTAATCCCAGTGTACACAGATGACATGAAGCATCATAGTAAACAGTTTGAAAACTGGAAATACAAGCCATTTTCAACATCTGTACCTGCCAATGAAAGCCCCCAATTAATCTGGACAGAAAAAAAATTATGCTGTGGTTCATGCTGGTAAGACTAAATTCCTCCCTGACTGTGGGACAGGAAATCCTAATTTTGGTAGGATGAGAGTTTTAACTGAAGACTTGAACTTATGCCATTTTATTTTGAAAATGGTTGTTTTAAGATACTTACAATTTGTAGGTATGGTATGCTGACATTAAAGCTATCATTCATACTTGCATGCCAAACTATTCTCACATTAGTAATAAAAAATGTTCCCAAATTTCCCTGTTAAAGAAAAGGTATGTTAGAACTGCTTTGAAGTATAGAGCCTTTTTTCCAAACATGATGATTACTCCTGTCCATTTAAACACAACTGGGATACAGCTGCATATTTAATTCAATAAAAGTCATGATTCTTTCCCACCAAAACCAGTCGAAATGCTTCTACTGACTGCAAGGAAGCAAGACCCAATCTTTAAAGGATACAACACCTAAGTGGTGAAAATAGCTGGGAGTACCTACCACTGCAGCAAAGCAGGATCAAAACAGGACGGCAGGCCTCATGGGAGTACATGAAGCATCTGAGTGTTCTTAACTGTACAGATCTGGAATTGGTGTATAGTGTAAGCGTAATGGCATGCGGGTTAAACTTAGGCAATTGTGGAGATGTGTGCCAAGGGAATGTAGAGGAAAGAACTTTTTAGCTTGTCAGGATGGATCCTATTTCCATTCTGGACTAAAACTGCACAGACAGAAATAACAGCTCCCATTTTTTTTCATGGCTTTGGGAAATCCTTGCAACTAATGGCCTATAAAATAATAGAAATGTTTTCTATTTTTTCCTTAAAATCTTTATATTTCCATGTTTTAAAACACAGATTCCTATTCCAGTATTTTCATTTTCCAGTAATTAAAAAAAAAAAAATAGTCTTACACTGTAGTCAAAGCTGCATGTAAACATACAAATATTCAGCAGAGCACTTTGGAAACAACAAAATTGTCTCTCAGGATGATACAGAGTTTTAGACTCATCTTTTTAACAGGAACTGTGTATCTAGTTCCTTGAATATTAGCCAAGTCACGTAGACTTCAGGTTGCCAAAAAGAGACTTTGTTGTACTGAGTAGCAAATACATGGGATCAGCTTCTGCACATGCATCAGCTGATGAACCGAATTAAGGGTAATTCCTCTGAGGTTACAAAACTATAGTAGCATAATTGCTAGATGAAAGCCAAAACATTTTAACCTTGCTATATTCAATGTAGTCTCATTTTTCACTGTACCTGGTCACTGGATAAATTCCAAACTCCATTGATTTTATCATATATTTGTTCTTGTGGTAATAATCTCAGTTGCTTGTTTTGAATCAATGCACTTCTCAGCTTGAGATCACGATACATTTTTGAAGTTTCATAAGCTCTGCAAAAAAAAAACCAACCCCACATTACTATTTCAGTGTTTTCTATTGTCTTTATTATTTTAGCACCAACATGAAATGTGTATTTTCAACTTTTCTTATCACCACGTCACACAAAAATGTGTACTATTACAACTTCATCAACGTAAACTGTTACGTAATTCAGCTTTCCTTAAGGAAGTTATCTTTAAACTCAAAAGGGTTTTTTTGACATCTGTTTCATATCCTGTATTGTTCATGTGTATATACTAATTCTTTCTTTTCCTTAAGATAGTAATCTCCCAGAATCTATTGCAAAGCATAAGTCTTCTGGGTCCCGTATTATATATAGTATGGACATCAAGATTCCTTTATTTTTCAGTGCTGGTTAAGTCACAAACATCCAATACACGTACATCATACACACCCCATACTCTTAAACAGAAACCTATGGTAATGTATTATACACACATTCAGAATTCCCATCTTTAGGTGGGTAACATCCACTGTTTTGTAATCAATTGGAATTTTGACCACGATTTAACTCTTCACTTCCATTATGTGGTCTAAAATGATGGGAAATTATTATAGACAGCAATTATAGATAGAAAATCGCACTGAAAGTAGCTCTTTTGTACTTTTATTTGTTCAGATAGTTTATACACACAAGGTTTATAAACTGTGATCAATGACTAGTATTAATTTTCATTATGCTCAGTTATCTACTGGAATTTGTGATCGTTCTCTCACTTCCTTTCAGAGATTGTGTTCTCCTGTTTTGGGAAAGTTTTCTGAATGTTAAATATGGGCAGTTACATACTGGTCTATCAGCAGTAGTAATCCAACATATTTGATTCACTGAGTTTTGTAAATAAAGAAACACTATTTTAGGTATGCTACCTGTGTACAGCAATAACTGAAGTGAAGAGTCTGGGACTCCCAGGGACAACATTGGTAAATATGAACTCAAACCGTGTATTGTTACACTTGGTCAATATATACAGAGCTTCTGTCTGCCCTCGTAATTTCTGTAAGGAAAAAAGTGAAGTTTAAAATTTTTACAATATAGTAGCTTGACGGTACAGGCAATAAATAACCTTGACATATTTTCTGAATTTTTGTTCTAAATAGTATATGTAGGTGTAATGCTGATTCTACCACTGATCTGCTGCTGTCTTCAACTGAACTCAGGTTTTTTGGAGAAACTAGCAGTTCCATCAACAGTAGAACTAATGAAGCCTGCCTGCTACGTGTTTGCAGTATCATGACTGAAACAGCATTTTTGGTTTTGTGGCTGTCCCAGGAACCTACGTAATCTCCCTGATAGTTCTTTGCTGCAAGTCAAACAAATGGCTTCACAGTTGCATGTAATTCAGGCCATGTATTTGAGATCTTTCTTGCACAAAATTAGTGCCTCTCTAGACATTTGTTAAATTTAGACACAATGAGCCAACATGTGCTTGACTTAAGAGGGGAGAAGAATCACCAAAGAGTGTGATTACATGAGTTTTACTGCCTTAGGAAACTGACTAAAACCACACTTCTATAGAACTGTAAAACTTTCTCAACTTTTAAAACTAAACTTCCATTACTATTCTACTATTGTCCTTGCAAGTAAACTTTTAGATTATTGTTAATATAGTGCAGTAAGTATAAACAATGAATTACAGCTTCTTTTGTTATTTTAAAAAGTATTTTTTGAAACTTACTGAGTTGGCAGTTCTTGTAGTTATATTTATAATGCAGTTGTAACCAACAGCTACAAGTTAGGGGAGAAAAAAAAAGAACAGTTTTGAGAACAAGAAAAAAAAAAGTCAAAACTACAAAGTACAATACTGAATTTTGTAGTACAGCTTTGGCTGCTACTTGTGAGAATTACACATTGTGGCTAATGGTCTAGGTCCTCATCATAAAATCAAAGACTAATTTAAGCAGGAAAGGACCTTGGGAGGTTGCCTGGTCCAATGCTCTTCTCAAAGTGGGACCAACTCCATCTGGCTACTCAGGGTACTGTCCAGTTCAGTTTTGAATACTTCCAAAGAAGGAGATTCCACAGCCACTCTGGGACTGTGTTCCACTATTTGATTGCCACCATTTGTGAATATTTTTCTTCTAATATCTAATCAGAATTTCCATAGTTTCAGTGTTTGTTCCCTCAAGGTCTGCTTCATCATGATGTCGCCTGTAAATTTTACCTGTATAAATAAAACTTTATACATTGATATGGTACTTTATAGAAGAAGAGCTAAGGACATGACAAAGAAAAAAACCAGCAAAAGTGGAGAAGAAACTAAAAGAAGAAAAACCACTTATAAATTTCACGTTGCCTCTTCTATAGTAGTGCTCAGATAGGAAATAAAAACAAAGCATCCTAGCCATTCTTTCCAAAACAAACGGATGCACTGAAATAGTGCTGGGCTAAATCTGACTGTAGATGACAATCCTGCTGCTGATACTGTTACCAAAAAAAATAATCAGAGAACTAGAATTTGCTTTGGGAAGATTCTGCTTCTCCAAAAGCTCAGATGTAGCAGCAGTTCTGCAGGTAAGCATATTCAGTCTTTACAGAATTAATACTTATGAAAATACCAGAAAAAGACTATTTCCTCAGTTGCTTACAAGAATTTTTTTAAAACTAGAAGAAACAGAAATGTTCAAAAATGGCATAAAATAATTTTTATTTTATTTTATAATAATGCAATTGCACCTTAAAATAATTACACCTTAATGTAAGAAATAATGCCTTATTGTGAAAGCTAGAGAGTATTTTAAACTCTAAAAGATATAGGTTATACTTCCTTGAGCTTCTATAGGGCTGAACTACTCCCTAAGTTTCCTTGTAATCTCCTCTAAAAAGGTCTATTCTAAAACATAAATACACGAGCAAGCAATTATTTTTGAAAATTTTATAAATACATATAAAAGTAGCAGTGTGTGTGAATGCACTTATATGAAATAGCTAATGCAGAACAGCAAGCAGGCAAAGGGTGTAAGTTTATATACATTATGAACAGAATACAGATTTTCAGTGTTGACTGGCTGTTGGGAACTGAGCACTGGAAATAATTTGGGTACAAGTGAGTGCATCCTGCCCCTTTTTCAGCTAATTAAGCATGAGTAGACTTCCTAGTTACTCATATAGTTAGAAGCTTGATTAGCGCTTACAGTAGTAAATTCAGAAAGGTAGGTACTGGTGAGGAATAAAAACTGTCGGACAATACAGAATGTGAATAAACAGGTGACAACAAGAGGTACAAATAAAGCAAAGCATGAAAAAACTCAAACTTGTTTCTTTCTAGGAAAACGAATGAATCCCACATAAGCCAAACGAAAAATATGTCTGAAGTACTCTTCAACTTCTGTTCTGAGAAATTAACAGTTAATATTTTGCTATGAATTATTATAACAGTTCCTATATTACAAATGGATTCTATTAGTAACAGTTTATTTCAACTGTACAGAGCAACAGAGCTATGCTTTTCCATACTGTAATCAATACTATTGTCAAAGAATAGCATGCAACCACAAGGAAACACAAAATTTGCTTTTGTTTAACAGGAGATGATACTTACAGAGGTTGACTCTGGGCAGTGACAGTGAACGCCATATAATCCGCAAATTTGTCACAAGCAGTCTACCTGGAAATAAAGTGTGCAGATATTTTTAATCTGAATAAATTTCATAAAATTAAATGTTCCATTCTGTGGTACATATTTTACCTCTAGTTTTGAAACACCAGAATATTCCTTTGCCTTGATGGGAAAAAGCAGAAAAACAACTAAACAGGGTTTTTTGTTTTGAATGTTAGGAGAGAAAATCCAGCGAGGAACAAATGAAACCTCTAATATATAACAAAATTCTCAAAACCAAACCCAGAACAGTTACTGATTTCACATCCATCTGACTTTGGTAAAAACGTGGAGACACAATCAGTGCAGAACTGTTCTGGCTAGAAGGGGAAGGCAGTGAGTTAACTATCACAGCTGTCTTCATGAATAACCTCACCCCTTTGTCACATGCAAATTTCTTTGATTCTGTACCCTGTACAGCAGCAACACATCCAATGCCAGGAGGGGTCATCTCATCATGCTGGCAGCTTCATGCCCTTGCACACTATATATATTCCTTACTGATTCGGTTTAAACCAAGTTAGGAAACACTAAGCATTAAACATGATTACAGCAAAAGATCACCAAAATGTGACCATTATAAATTGATTATTCTTACATGGCTTTCAATTCTAAACAAATTCTGAGATAAGATTATCACTTTCCTGTAACTTTGAACAAGGGATCCTATTTGAAAATACTCCAAGGGGAGAGAGATCTGTGAAATAGGCAGGATCTGTCTTCTGCAACCACTGACCACTGACACCAGGTTCAATGGAAACCACACAAGGCTTTCATGAACCTACACAGGTTAAATATTAGAAAAATTACAATTTCCCTGAACATGCAGTTACCTCTGTCTCCATTGTTTCCTTTGGTATCTTCAACAGACTCTAAGCAGTCTATAAGGACCTCTCCAGGTCTCATTTTCATTTGTCTAAAAGAAAAAATACAAGAAGAAAAAAATTACCTAGTGGAAAACAGATTAGATTTATCTTCCAAAAGGTGGCCATTTCTATTTTCTCAATCACTTTCCTTTCTCCTTTTTTTGCTTAGTGCATCATACAATGAAAAATCCACATATGCACACATATACACAAATCAACATTATATACCTGAAATTGTTATCACTACATCTAGCATATGAAAAATATTACTGCCTTATTACTACATTATAACTGTAAATAAAAATTTAGGTAGCAAGACCAAGCAAACTATACCCCAAATAGGGAGAAAGTGTGTGAAAATTGGGAGAGAAAAGCAAAAAAGTTGCATTCACATAATTTTTAATGGATAGTTTGTTGCCTCTTACTGTTCATTTATAACATAAGGAGTGGAACTGGACTCAGGAAAGAATAGATGCTGGCAAAGGAAATCTCAAATGTATGCTGACATGTGAAATTCTCTATTAAATTTACCACAAAGGGTGTAGGGGTTTGTTTTGGTGGGTTTTTTTCTTGTATTTTGCTTCATTTAACTGGTCTAACCACTTAATTACATAACAGATAATCTTAGTGTGAATTGTATTGTGTAAAGCTGCCAAAACTCTTCAGTGTATTGGCATGGCAGAAACAAAATGCATTATCAGAGGGGAATTCCATGAGATACCACTGGAGATCAGGATTGAGACACTAGGTATGGACTTAATACATCACCAGAACAGCACAAAAGACAGGAGGTACCAAGAATAGTAACATTAGCATTAAAGCAAATATGGAAGCAGGCCCTGTCTACATGACAATTTTACAAGAAAATAAGACAGAACTGCTTAAACATACAAGATACAATTTCATGTTTCTAAAATTACTGCAGGCAGCATGTCTGAGGGACAAGGGGTGTTATCTGTAAGGTCAACTGAGTAGGAGGGAGATGAAGCATGATAGTACACTTTCAGCCTCCACCCCCAAAAACCATCACCAACCAGCTGCTATTTCTTAGCTCTATATTACAAAAGCTATGCAGGGTCAGGCCACAGAAGCTAGAGCAGAAGTTTTATGTCTCAGATAAGGCTGACAGCCCGTCAGAGGTCAAGGCCCACAGGAGTGAGGAAGCACTGCCGCCACGAGGACGGACGTGACAACCCTCCAGCTCCGGCCCCTCAGAGGCTGAGCAGCCACTGCCCGTTCCCGTGAGCTCAGGCTGCCAACACCACGGCAGGGACACCGAGTCCTTGTTACCAGTGACTGGTACCGCCTCCTCAGACACACCTTCAGTTTGTTTTTACTTCTCAGTGCCAGGTAACGCTACAGGCTGCTGGGAAAAGAACACCCTTCCCTCAGTCCTTAAGTGTGCAACTTTTTTTTTTTTTCCTTTTGTTTTACGACTGTAAACGGTGACTGACCGCACCTACCAACACCTGCCCAGCCAGGCCGCCTAGGTCTCGGCGGCCACACAAGCCTTTTCCCGCCCTGACAGGAAAACACGCTCGCCCCGCGCCGCCACCCCGGGAAGGCTCCCAGCATGCACCGCGCCACTGATGGCCGCCGCGCCCAGCCTACTGGGGGGCAGCGCTCAGCCTACTGGCAGGCGCCGGACGGGCCCGAAAGCCCTGCTGTAAGGGCGGGGCGGGGCGACGACACTCACTGCGGGGAGATGTCGAAGCGGACATCTCTGTCCTCCCACAGCACGTCCAGCACGGCGCTCATGGCTGCCG